TCAAAGGCTGTTATGAGGCTAAGTTCATTAAAGGTGAACTGTAAAGGGCTGTTTTTATTAAATTGGTCTTGCACCCCATTTTACTTCTTTACAATATATAAAGACAGACAAAGATTTTTTGATACTTCCCGCTCACCTCCCAATTTTTACCTTAGAACAGTGCATGGAAGAAGCTACTACCTGGCATAAATAAGGATGGCAGTATACAAAGCATATCCCATCCCTACAGCCCCCCTTGTGGTGAGGTGTAATGCTGCAGGTGCACCCTGCCTTAATTTCCCCAATTGGGTCACCAGTAAGTTCACTTTAAAGGATCTGGGCCAAGGGAAGCCAAAACTGACTAACAATAAGTACGACCCCTTTACAAAGGAGAGGGAGCAGCTGTAACAACAGTTCATAGGGCCCTTACCTCAGGACCCTGGTCCAGAGCCCCTAAACTTGAAAGTGCACATACAAAGTCTCTGGGCCTCGTCAGGCTAGTCCCCTGGAGTCTAAAACAGCAAGCACAGCCCATTGCAGTATGTACTGCTTCTAGTCCCCTCTCTCCTGCTCAGCTTCCCTGTGACGTTACACCCCATATTCTTCATAGAAATATCATTCTGATATGAATATGGCCTAAGATATATTTTATGCAAGATGTGTCTTGTAAGGTATCATTGGAAAGGTTATGATGTACTAACTGTGATTATCCAATTTGTATGCATGTATCCTTTCTGTATCTAAAGTTAGGAATGCTGACTATGTAACAATTACAACTGTGTGTGTATTTGGGAGACACCCACCAGACAACCGGCCATCACAGCCTTGATGGGCCATTAGGAAGAAACAGTAAGACTGTGACGATCTCTCTCCTTCCTGAGAGGTATCCTGGGATGTAGCTGTGACACTACCATGTCAGGTGGTCCTGTCACCTGATACAAAATACCACTTTTGACACTGCTGGTACTTTTCCTCTGTAGGGGGATGAGGATCAAACTACGGTTTCCCACTTTAGGTAAATCCCTTTTAAGACTGGGGAGGGAGTTAATCTGGACTCTCCTCCATTGCCTACCCAAGAAGAAAGACTGCTGAAAGTACCTGGAGGGACAAAGGACCTAACCTTAGGGGAAAGGCAGAGGTGAGTCCAGACTGAGACAGGGGGTCCAGTTTGTAGGAAGAAATAACTGGAACTCTAAGCTACAGAAACTCAGCAAATTGTCTAAAACAACATTTAGGGTGAGAAATTACTTCTTGAAATCAATCTCTTTAAGATCTGAAGTTTAGTATGCATGTTTTGTTTTATTTGCTCAGTAATCTGCTTTGTTCAGTTTGCTATCCCTTATAATCACTTAAAATCTGCCTTTTATAGTTAATACATTTATTTTGTTTATAACATAACCCAGTTTGTGCAATTCATATCTGGGGGGTAAGGGGGCAAGAAGCTGTGCATATCTCTCTTCACATTGAGGGAGAGGGTGAATTTTTTATGAGCTTGTGCTGTGCAGATCTTTCTATACAGGGAGATGGGCACCTGAGTGCTGGGGCAAGTCTCTTAAGCTGAGTCTTCCCAGAGCTGATTTTGGTGTCTGCGTCTTTCTGCAGCTGGGTGTGGCCCTGCCTGTGTGTGTGCTAGAGGAGGTTTAAGAGCCTGGCTCAGCAGGACAGGGTAAAGGGGGCCCAGGCTGTTGGAACAGGCGGGCTCAGTGCATCAGGTAGCACCTTAAAGTGGGGCATTCATTCTCTGAGAATTCCAACATCTTTTTAGAAAACAAAAGAAAGTAAGGCAGCTACCTCCTATTACACTACTGCTTTCTCCCTGTGCAAGCATGTTGCAATCTTCAGAATATATTTCTAATAATATGTTTGCTACTAAGTCTGAAGGAGGCAATGATCTCAGTCACAAGTTGCCTTTATCCAGTCATATGGTACATTTCTAATCTTTCTTACATTCATAGCTGCCAAAATTATTAACTTCTGTGGCTGCTTCACAACATTATGTAAAATACTAAAACTCTTACTTGCAACCATTTAAAAGTCTTCAAAGCACCAAAGAAATTAACTAACCCCAATCCTGCACACACTTCTGCATGTGCTTAACATTAAAGTCCCAATGACAACCATGCTGATTTCAATGACACTTCTCCTGTGTTGTATGTGTATGTGTAAGTGTTTGCAAGACTGGGGCCAACACAGTCAACTAGAACATAATACCATCAGTAAAACCCTGAAATGTAAACCATAACCTGGTGTCAGAGTCGGCAGAGGGCAGAAATATTGACCCAAAAGTTGAAAGTTTGAAATAAGACTTTTCGTCCTGGGTCATTAAGTCAGAATCACCAGAAAAGTGCATGATCTTGCAAAATTAAAAGGGGAGGAATAAACACCAAAGATTAATTGCCTTTCACTTGGCAAAAGAAATGCATCTCTGCTTTATAGCTGTAGCAAACCTATTACAGAATTCTTACAAATTCTCCATTGGAAAATTCTATCCCTACGGGATTAGCCAGCTGGTAACATACTGACCCAAGTGACCCACAAAACAGCACTTAATTTGTATCCACAAAATACAGGAAAGCACGTGAGTAAAGGCTGTAGGAACAAGCCCATATATTAACTCACTTTTTTAAAAACAACAAAAATGGATTTATGTTACCAGTAAAGCTCTTAAGACCTAAAGGGCTAATGCTATTGCTCTGAATCGTCTCATCTTCTAACAGTGAGCTTGCAATATTCTACTTGCCAAGGGAGAATATATATTTATTTTAGATTTGAGAGTAAAAATCTCATTTTCCCCCCTTATCATCAGTCATGATGGTAAAGGGCCACGAAGCAGATTTTGGCCCAATTCAGAGGTGAGCAAAAGTGAGCCAAGTAGGATTGCCGGGCATCCAGTTAAAAGTCCGGTCAGTGGCAAAGTAGGGGCTAAGGAAGCAGCCGGCATGTCCCTGCGGCCCCTAGGCACGGGGTGGCCAGGGGGCCTCCGCGTGCTGCCCCAGCCCTGAGCGCCAGCTCTGCAGCTCCCACTGGCCAGGAACCATGGCCAATGGGAGCTGCGGGGGTGGCACCTGCAGACAGAGGCAGCGCACAGAGCGGCCTGGCCGTGCCTCCACCTAGGGGCTACAGGGACATGCCTGCCGCTTCCGGGAGCTGCCTGGGCTCCCGTGCCCTGAACTCCCTCCCCTGCCCCAGCTCCAGCTCAGAGCCCCCTCCCACACTCCGAACCCCTCATCCCCAGCCCCACCCAAACACCCACATTCCCAGCCAGAGCCCTTACCCCCTCCCACGCCCCAACCCCCCGGCCTCAGCCCGGTGAAAATGAGTGGGTGAGGGTGGGGGAGAGAGAGTGACAGAGGACGGAGTGAGCAGGGATGGGGCCTCAGAGAAGTGGTGGGGTAGGGGCAGGGGGCAGGGCAAGGGTGTTCAGTTTTCTGTCATCAGAAAGTTAGCAACCCTAGAGCCAAGAGAGCACTTATGTTGGTGTACAGTACACCTCCTTCTAATCCTTCCTGGTCATGCATGTTACACCAATTTAGATTCACTCTAGACTAGTGGTCACCAACCAGTCGATTGCGATCGACTGGTCGATCCTAGAGGATCTCCCAGTCGATTGCAATCTCTGGTGGTGTAGCGTGGCTGCCGCTAAGGCAGGCTCCCTCCCTACCCTGGCCTCATGCTGTTCCTGGAAGCGGCCAGCGCGGCCCCGCAGGGCGGGAGGGTCTCCTTATGCTGCTCCCGGAAGGGGCCAGCTGCTGGTCCTGCAACTCCCATTGGCAGGGAACAGGAAGCTGTGGCCAATCGGAGCTGCAGGGGCGGTGCTTGCAGAGGGGGGCAGCACACAGAGCCACATGCCCACCCCCTCCAATGGGTGCAGGGGCATGCTGGCCCTTCCAGGAGCGGCATGGGGCCAGGGTAGGCAGGGAGCCTGCCTTAGTGGCAGCCACGCTGCGCTGCCAACTGGGAGCCGCCGGAGGTAAGTGCTGTCCGGCGAGAGGCCGCACCCCATACCCCCTCCTTTACCCTGAACCCCTTCCTGTATCCCAACCCCCAGCCCTGAGCCAGCCTCCCGGAGCCAGCACCCCATACTCCCTCCTGCACCCCAACACTCTGCCCCAGTCCTGACCCCCTCCCAGAGCCAGAACCCTGTACCCCCTTCCTGCACCCCAAACCCCTGCCCCAGCCCTAACCCCCATCCCAGAGCTTGCACCCCTCACCCCCTCCTGCACCCCAACCTCCTGCCCCAGGCTCAGCCCAGAGCCCGCTCCTACACTGCGAACCCCTCGGCCCCAGCCCAAAGCCCATACCCCTCCTGAACCCCAACCTCCTACCCCAGCCTGATGAAAGTGAGTAAAGGTGGGGGGATGGAGTGATGGGGAGGGGGATGGAGTGAGTGGGGTGGGGCTTTGGGGAAGGGGCGGGGCCTTGGGGAAGGGGTGGGGTAGATCCTGGGTTGCCCTTAAATTCAAAAAGTGATCTTGGACAAAATAGTGGAGACCACTGCTCTAGACTCACCTCTATAATCTCTCACGCATTTACCAACATGGATTTTACAATCTTCCCCTTGTGCATCATGTCCTAATTTGACCCTCTGTGCCTAAATTGGTAAATTTGAATTACAGTTTTCCAAGGTTGTGTGGAGATTACAGTTGGAATAGGTAGGAAAGAAAGGGATGGTCTCCCCACTCTATGAGACCTTATAGAAACGCCTCTCCTAGTGTTCAGGGTGGGTTGGAGAACTATGGTACAGGAAACAAGCCACCCATTGAAGGAATCATCCCTGCTTAACCAGTTGATTTCAAATTAGAAATCCAAATGGATACTGACATTGCTCAGAACTGTTCCTCTCCAGGACTGCAGGAACAGCCAATGGAAGAATTTCCCTCTTGTTCATGTGAAATCATTTAACCTGTTCAAATACAAAGAACACTGCGAAGCAAGAATGTTGTTTCCTATTAATTGGTTGTTTTGTTAATAAAGATAAATCAGAAACCTCCTAGGCAAGAAACAGTCAGTAGACTCTTTACCTGTCATCACAGTAGGTAAATTTCATGTCCATGCTATGGCGACTCAAGAAAGTCTTGCTGTCCAGTGGGATATCCATGTTTGATGGGTGCTGAATGGGTTCACACATTATTATAAGGCAGGTGAGGAGAGGCTCCTTATACCCACACAGGGTGTGAGGAGGGCAAGTGTTATACACCTTAACTTGTCCAGTGCAGTGCAAGACCTGAAACAAATAATGATTTTATAACAGGGCATTAGTTTAAAAGGTACTTTCTGAAAAGACAGTCTGACTTTCATCAATAAAACTTGTTATGGCTAAAATGTGGTACCTTCCACGTGGCAGATTTGAGGTTTACAGTTCTGCCTCTGTTGGTAACAGTGCATTTCATTCTCATGAAGAAGTCACGCTCTGTGGATATCTCTTTGCTTTTCTTTCCAAAGCCTGGACCTAAGGTGAGGAAAAAAGGCAATTACTTGACTAATAAGCTTTTTGCGGGGGCTGGGGGATGTTTGTGTTGCTTTTTAAAATTCTCTCTTTTATTTTTAAGCATAAAGGATTTGTAGATAACAACAGATGGTTTGGTTCTCAAATTGTTACCTTCCACATCAAGACCTGTGCCCTGCGCACTCTTGGTTTAAGTAATATTTAGCATGAGTGTGAAAAATAGATCCCCTCCTAGGATAAAATATTAGATCTCTCTGCCCTTTTCGTCCCATTTGAACCCCATGCTAAGTCCCCAAGCGTGCAAACTACTTCATGTGAGCAGACTCCTGTACCCATGCAGAGCCTCACAGAATCAAGCAGGGCTCTGTACAAGGGCAATGGTCCACTCATGCAGAGCAGTTTGCACAGGTTTGGGGTGTAAAGACTTAAATGGTACGGGAGCCCTGTTCATTTTTAACCTGTATTTCAGCCTGTGTTACATAATCTTTGCAAACTATTGCAAGTGAAGACATTGCATCTGTTTTAGGTTAGAAACAAGAAAGCACCAGAGCACACAGTTCTTAGTGCTGTTATATTTAATCACAAAGTTTTAAAAACAGTGGAAAAGATGTTGACGCCAAATACTACTCCAGGCGTTAACATTCCCATTTGCCCATGGCCACTTTCTAACTTCTGCTATCTATTATTTGCTTTATTGGGGTGTTTAAGAGGCAAAGAAGAAAAATACATCAAAGATTTTAACTTTTTTCTTACCAGTTTTCAAACTCAGATTCTCTCGAATTTCCTCATGGTCACATGGGTGGGTAAAGTCAAATATGCTATGTCCAGTTAATTCCACCTGTTCAGAAAACAATACATATATTTAGCCAAAAGTGAGGAGAATAAATAAAATTTAATAATACAGAAGACTATTTTGGAACACTGATTCATTCAATGTGATCAGAGAAAAGGCAAAAGCAATACATCATGCCTGATCTTTTCTTAATGATAATTTCAGTTCCTCCCATTCTTTTACCTGTTTCCCTAAGGTATGATTTCTCTGGGGCATTTTTGAGGATATTTTGGGTAACAACAAAATAATTCTTAAGCTTAGAACTATAAGCTAGATATCCTCAATAAACTAATCAGTCAGTAAAACTAAGTCTATTTACACCAACTGAAGATCTGGCCCTAAAATATTAAAAACAGAAATGATATTAGAGACACAACGTGCCAAATTCAACCCCGGTGTGTGCAACTGTCACGGTGTGCATATCAGCAATAATTTTAGCCCACTCTTATTTATCAGCTATTATTTAGATTCTATACCTTGTAGATTCATTTGTGCATTTTGATTTAACCCTTAAACGGATTGGTAACTCACTTCACCAATGCGAAGGGCCTGATCTGAAGTCAATGAAAAGACTTCATTGACTTCAATAGCCTTTGGATCTAACGGACAAGTAATCAGACTGTATGTGGGAGAAGGGCAACATGGCACCACAGCTCTCCCACACATGCTGCAGTCACTGCTCCAGGCTCTGGACTGGAATGGCAGCTGCAGCTCCTGAATGCCATGTGCAAAGTATGTAAGGACCACTGGATTAGAGCAAGATAGATCCTGTGGCCCTTAGCTCTGTTTGTCCCTGACCCATCTTCTCACAGTCTTTGTAGGGCCACTCCCCTACCTTGGGGTACATGTGGTGCTGAGCAACCCCTGCACAGCCACTCCACCCCTGCACTTATGGCAGTCAATGCCCCCCCATGTCACAGGTGAATCTTAGCACAGGCAGTGCCTCAAGCACTGGAGCACTTTGTCCCTCCTCTTCTCTCTCTGTGGCACATAACAGTTTAGTCTCCGGCAGGCTACAATGTTTTGGTCTGATTTCAGCTGTTGGGTTCTGTGCGTGAGTGCTGGGTGCTGTTGGTTGCCTGTGACATACAGGAGGTCAGAGTAGATGATCTGGTGGTCCCTTCTGGCCTTAACTCTATAACATTAAAAAGATCCCTCCTAACCCCAAACAAATCACTCCCCTATCAAAAAAATTTGTGAACATAGGCCGGTTTTGTAGCCTCCAAATCTGGGGCCTAGCAGGCCAAATGGAAAATGGTGTCCCAGATCTGAGAACCCTTCACTGAGAATATCCTGCACCCAGGCACCTCAGTTTTAAACTGAGAGGCTGACAGCTCAAGGTGCTGATTCAGAGTGCTGCAGTGTCACACAGGGGCTACATTTGCTCACTGTGTCTTTCACTGAATGAGATCACAGCTTTATTAAACATAATTTGAATTAGTCAGAAGCATAGTGAAGACAGAGAAACTATGTCAAGGTTTCTAGGAATTATGTTACAACGGCAGCTCTTTGAAAGCAGTAGGAAACAGGTTACCTGAGTGAGACCCATGTATTTGTTGATGTTCTCTGACAAAAAGATCATGTCTCCATCTTGTGTCACCACAGCAATAAATCCCTCCAAAGCTTTCAGGTACAAGGTGTCTATCTGCTGGTCTGTCTCTAGGTCACTTTCATTGTCAGCACATACTGAAATAAAAGGAAAGTGGCCAAAAAAATCAATTTTCAGAGCCATCATTTTTCTGCTTACTTTCTAATCACACCAAATAGCAAAATGCTTTTTTGATGCCAGAATGCTGGTTATAGAAAAACCCTCTGTTTGCCTTCTTGGGGAGGATGACAACTGGGTGGGCCATCTGCATTGAGTCTGAAGGGGACATGTCCATCATTAGGAAGAGAGAAGACATCTTTTGTAAAGGTGAAGAAACACTTACCTTACAGTAACTGTAGTTCTTCAAGAAGTGTTGTCCATATATATATATTCCACTGTTGGTGCACATGCACCCAGTGCATTCACGTTCAGATTCTTTTGGCTAGCAGTGTCCTTTGGGGGCCACACCTGTAACATGAATGTCCTTGTGCCTCCAATCGAGGACATAAAGGGTGGGGCAACCCCAACTGCTCCTCAACTCCTTCACCAATATAGAAACCAGGTGTTGTCAGACTCTCTGTGGTAGCGGGGAAAGAGGGTGTCTCACGGAATAGATATGGGCAACATATCTTGAAGAACCACAGTTACTGTAAGGTAAGTAACTATTTCTTCTTCTTCAAATCCTTGCCTATATATATTCCACTCTTGGGACTCACAAGCAATAACCTATATCATAAGAAATGGGCACTAGGAGCCTACCTAAATAATGAACAAAGCGTGTCCCTACCAAAAATTAGCATCAAATTTTGATACTTCCACGATGGAGTAAAACTGGACAACTATGTGCACTGGACCCTAAGTACAGCTCTCTAGCATTGGAATATTTCTCAAAGCAGCAACAGAAGCTGCTTGCACTCTTGTAGAGCGAGCTGTCACTCTCACTGGCAGGTCTACGTTTCCTAACTCATGGCACAGTCGGATACGAGTAGAAATCCAGTTAGAAAGTCTCTTTGTTGAAATGGCTTGACCTTTCACTCTATACCCATAAGGTATAAACAATCTGGGGGATACCCTAAATGGCTTAGTTCTGGCTTTGTAGAAAACAAGTACCTAAGAACTTCTAGGGCATGAGGTTTAGCCTTACCTTTGTTTGAATGTGGCTTGGGGAAAAACATAGATGGGAGTATAAAACATTGTTTAGATAGAAATCAGAGACTACCTTGGCAAAAACCTTTGGGGGAGGTCTCAAGGACACCTGGTTTCTACAAAAAACTGTACATGGGGGCCCTTGCACTAGTACTTGCATCTCTCCTAGCCTTATGGAGGATATTACTGCTCCCAGGCAGAATGTTTTGATGAAATAGAGATTGTGTAGCTAATGGTGCAAAGGATGGGCCCATTAACTCTGTCAGTGCAATATTTAGATCCCAAGGAGTGGGACATTCTCTGACTGGGAGATATACCCTCATACGGTCTTTTAGAAACCAAGGCACCAGAGGGCATGAAAATGTGGAATACCTCTATATTGTTCTGGGGGAATATGCACTGACATATCCAGGTGATGACCACTTGGCTGATACAGAGACTTTAACCACCCTTGCATACAATGAAGATGAAGTCTGTCATGCTGCATTACATAGGTGGAGGAGGCCATTGTGTCCTAAAAGTCTGAGACAAGTCCTCACCAATATCTTGGGATGAACTTGTAGGTAATTGGACAGGTCTTGGAATCTCTCTTGTGGAAGATAAGCCATTTGAGATATTACCTCTAGCTCAGGGGCGGGCAAACTTTTTGGCCTGAGGGCCATATCGGGTTTCTGAAATTGTATGGAGAGCCGGTTAGGGGAGGCTGTGCCTCCCCAAACAGCCAGGTGTGGCCCAGGCCCCACCACCTATCTGACCCCCTCTGCTTCTTGTCCCCTGACGGGCCCTCCCGGGACCCCTACCCCATCCACCCCTCCCTGTCCCCTGACCACCCACAGATCCCCTGCCCCTGACTGCCCCCCACCGCCCCATCCAATCCCTCCTCTCATTCCTGACTGCCCCCCTGGGACTCCTGCCCCCATTCAACCCGTTCCCTGCCCTCTGACCGCTCCCGGGATCCCTGCCTCATCCAACCACCCCTTCTCCCTGACCGCTCCTGGAACCCTTGCCCCTGACTGCCCTCCGATGCCCCATCCAATCCCTCCTCTCGTTCCTGACTGCCCCCCTGGGACCCATGCCCCCATTCAACCCCTGTTCCCCGCCCTCTGACCACCCGGACTCCTATCCACACCCCAGCCCCCTGACCACCACCTCAAACTCCCCTGCCCTCTATCCAACCCCCCCTGCTCCCTGCCCCCTTACCACGCTGCCTGGAGCACAGGTGGCTGGTGGAGCTACAGCCGCATCGCCCAGAGCACCAGTACAGGCAGCCGCGCCACCCGGCTGGAGCCAGCCACACCCCCACACAGTACAGAGCACCACGTCAGGCCGCGGCTCTGCAGCTGTGAGACCCAGCAAGAGCTCGCAGCCCCGCTGCCCAGAGCATTGCACCGGCAGTGCAGTGAGCTGAGGCTGCGGGGGAGGGGGAACAGCAGGGGAGGGGCCAGGGGCTAGCATCCTGGGCCAGGAGCTCAGGAGCCGAGCAGGAGGGTCCCGCGGGCCGGATATGGCCCACAGGCCATAGTTTGCCCACCTCTGCTCTAGCTGGAGAGACAACTGTACGGTAGATTGGATGGAGAGATCTTTTTAGGTTCAAGAACCAAAACTGCCTCAGCCATGCTGGAGGCACACCATGATTATCCCTTGAATGGGAATTAGTATTGACTTTTCACCTCTCTAGGTCTAAGAGAGAAGAGACCACAGAATGGGGTCATCTAGCTGTTGATGCAACATTTTTTTGTTAAAGAGGCTAAAGAGCGTAGCAGATGTTCTGTACAAGATAAACCTGCACTTCTTGTCCCCTGAGATAAGCTGCCACTACTGGTAGCCATTTTTGTGAATATCCTTGATTCTGTCAATAGATTAAAATGGTAGCAACCTATACTGGCAGTACAAATTGCCCACTTGAACTCTCATACCTTTTTTGGGCAGGACAAATTGCTATATGGAAATAAGCATCCTGGCGTTCATATGCTGTGTACCAGTCAAGTGGATTTAGGGTTAGAATTATCAAGCACCTTCCTGACCTTGAGCTTGTGAATAAAGGTGTTCAGCTGTCTCAGGTCCAGAATAAGGCACCAGCCCTCTTTCTCTTGAGACACTTCTTCCATGGCTTTGGGATTTAGAAATGACTGCACATCCTGATGTAGCCTGCTGTCGTGAGAGGGGGCCTGAAAAGGGATGGAGAAGATGTATGGGGATTGTGGCTGAGGGTGGTCTGGAATTGGATGGAATAACCCATTTTTATGATTTTCAGGGTACAGGGCTCCATAGTGATGATGATCCAGATCATATGAAAATGAAATAAAAAATTCTCAAAAGGAGGAGATATAACAGGGATATCCAGAAGAATATGTACACTGCTCCTGACCAAGCACTTAGATCTGCTGCCTTGATGAGGTGGATGCAGATGACTTCCTTTTGTGGAATTTTTGGCACTTTCTTGGAGTTTCAAATTATCTTTATTGGGTACCTCTCCTGTGGTTGAGGCCTAAAGTGCTTCCACTTTGATGCAGGAGTATAGATTCCTAAGGACCTTAGTGTGGTACATGAGTCCTTCAGAAAATGTAAACCTTCATCGTTTTCACAGTGAAAGTTTCACATCCCATAAACGAAGATCCTCAGTTGTAATTTGTACTTCTTTAGGGATCCCTGATGACTAGAGCCAAGAGGATCTCCTTCTGGCAGTTGAGGTAGCCATAAATCTGGAAGCTGTAATTGTAGATCAATAGCTACTTGGAGGGTTGTTCGCACCACCAGTTGACCTTTGACCACCAAAGACTTAAATTCCTCCCTAGTACCTTGGGGAAGGTTTGACACTTGGCAGACCAGGTGCCAGTTCATGCCAGAGCCCTAGGCCAATTCACTTGTATATTAGTATAGATCAAAGTGATGGTTAAATGTATAAGAGTGTACTTAGTGTTTAAACTTCATGAAAACTAGTGGGATGTTACTTGCATTGTTTTCACTTATTTGTATCCCGTTATAATACAGTAGCAAACATTTACATTGTGTATACCCCTGTAACTAAATAACCTATCATACGAGCCATCAAGCAAGAAAGAAGCCTTGTGGAATGCAAATGAAGAACTTTAAGAGAAAAGTGCTAATTTCAAAGAAAGTGGTCATTGTGTGTGATGTTTGAAGGTCAAAGACTCAAAATGCATTCCTTACTCTCTGTAATCAAAGGAAAAGTTCACATGTAAAGTAACACTATCAGTTTGATTTCTGTGAGAAGCAGCTATAAGTATGGATTCAAGGAAGAATTCTGCATCTATGGACTATTTGGACTCTTACAGGGAAGGGTACCATATGCAAAGCAGAGATCCCCAGAGACAATATGGACTTCCTGAAAAGACTTTGGAAAACTGGCTGTTTATTACATCACTGCCACCATTTGAAGTTACAAACTCTGACTCACTTGTGCAAATATTTTCCCTGCTTTAACCTCTCAATAACTCTCCTTTCCTTTTCTTAGCTAATAAACGTTTAGTTAGTTTACTATAGAATTGGCTACTAAGTGACTGGTGTCACTGGAAGCAAGCCAAATGTGATGTGATTTTTGGTATAAGTAACTATTTTATCACAAAGTCCACTTTGTCGGGTGGCAAGATAGATTGAAGAGTCTATGGGAACTGTCTGTGACTCCATGATAAGACTGGTATAGTGATCCAGGAGTTCGTATTTGTCACTGGCTTGGTGAAATCTAATTATAGAACACACTAGTTTGGGGTGTATGCCCTGTTTTCTGACAGACTTCCCTGAGCTAGGGACTCATAACCATGAGCCATTCCAGACAGCATGACAGGAGCTTGTCTGCAAATTTAGATATGAAATCTCAATTCATATAATTGTGCTTCACCATCAGGGCCTGGTAATTGGCAATTCTCATTTGGAGCTGTGATGTAGAATTTTCTATCGTTTGATATTGCTTTTTGTTGAACGTCTTATAGTTATCTAAGTCAAGGCAGATGACATAGGTACCACAGTCTCCACAGGGGATGTGGATGAGATGAATGCTAGGATGGGATGGGCTTCTGTCTGCTACTCCACACCAGAGCCATGACCAGTCTGTTCAGCAGACTGTGGAACAGACTATGCTGGTTGTAGAGTCCCCTTGTGAGATGGATAAGGAGACCTAGCTCTGGACTGAGATGCAGACTCTAGCTTTCTAGCATGACTCATTCCCCATGGAACTTAATAAGGCCAAGGGTGTTGGGAAGCATAAGAGGCAGGTGGCCAAGGGGAATACTATAACACACCAGGGAATACTATAATTCTTTGAGATTCTATAGGCTAAGGCCTGGTCTACACTACGAGTTTAGGTCGAATTTAGCAGCGTTAAATCGAATTAAGCCTGGACACGTTCACACGGCTAAGTCCCTTTTTTCGACTTAAAGGGCCCTTTAAACCGGTTTCTTTACTCCACCTCCGACGAGGGGATTAGCGATAAAATCGGCCTTAGCGGGTCGGAATTGGGGTAGTGTGAACGGAATTGGACGTTATTGGCCTCCGGGAGCTATCCCACAGTGCTTCATTGTGACTGCTCTGGACAGCACTCTCAACTCAGATGCACTGACCAGGTAGACAGGAAAAGCCCCGCGAACTTTTGAATTTCATTTCCTGTTTGCCCAACGTGGAGAGCACAGGTGCCCACGCAGAGCTCATCAGCACAGGTAACCGTGATGGAGTCCCAGGATTGCAAAAGAGCTCCATCATGGACCAAATGGGAGGTACGGGATCTGCTCGCCATATGGGGAGATGAATCAGTGCTAGCTAAACTCCATAGCAGTAAACGAAATGGCAAAATATTAGAAAAGGTCTCCAAGGGGGGGAGGGATAGCTCAGTGGTTTGAGCATTGGCCTGCTAAAGCCAGGGTTGTGAGTTCAATCCTTGAGGGGGCCACTTGGGGATCTGGGGCAAAATCAGTACTTGGTCCTGCTAGTGAAGGCAGGGGGCTGGACTCAATGACCTTTCAAGGTCCCTTCCAGTTCTAGGAGATGGGATATCTACATTAATTTATTTTATTTATTTATTTAAGGCCATGAAGGACAGAGGCCATAACAGGGACGCACAGCAGTGCCGCGTGAAAATTAAGGAGCTAAGGCAAGCCTACCACAAAGCCAGAGAGGCAAACAGAAGGTCTGGGGCAGAGCAGCAAACATGCCACTTCTACGCGGAGCTGCATGCCATGCTAGGGGGTGCAGCCACCACTACCCCAACCATGTGCTTTGACTCCTTCAATGGAGAAACACACAGGGAAGCGGGTTCGGGGTACGAGGAAGATGAGGATGAAGATAATGTAGATAGCTCACAGCAGCAAGGAAGTGGAGAAACCGGTTT